TATGTATATATATATATGTATATATATATATATATTGCTAATAATCTATAACATATATCAACATTCTTTCCGTGAATAACACTGATTTCCAGAAAAAATGATTATCTACATATCAGAAATCTGTTCATGATTCATAATATCACACCCTGGAACATTTAAATAATTTATAGTCCATCTGTTCAGAACTATGATTAAATCTACCAAACTGTTCTCATAATAAAAAGTCTAATTTACTTAATCTAATCACAAAATAGTAAGCACTTTTTTATCACCAAAATTAGTTTGCAATAATATTGGTAATTTAACTATTTTGAATCAAAATACAAGAAAAAAAGTGAAACATACCAGTTCAAGCTGCATTATGCGGATACAGTCCTTAAGGACACGAACGGGGAACCTTAGGATGCTGTAGAAGGAGTGTACCGCATACAGTCTATATGGGGGTATTGGAACTTTGACACTGAAGAACTTTTCAAGAACCTGAAAGGAACAAACATGATACAGTAACATTTCTACTGGTTCTGATAGTAAATAAAATGGAAATATTATGAACCTTGCATCAACATGTTATTGAAGTTTTTTTTTCCAGTTAATTAAATGAACCTTTAAAACAAAAAACTAGATATAATCACTTACAAATAAATACAAACTGCCCATACTATCACCATTTGATATCCATCATTAATAGTTCACTCCAACATTATTACAAATACACTGAATCCCAATGCAAATAAACAAATGTAAAACTGAAATTCTATATCTTACCTGCAACTCCTCTGTGGTCCACTGATCTACATGTTCAGGTACTGGCTGTAGTTTAAGACTAAGGCTGTATGATGGCGTGCTGTGCACCAGCAATTGACAACACAGAGTCTCAATCTTGCACTGTATACTCCCAGGTTCAAAGCCTCCAACTGGTTTTATCTAGTAATAGAAAACCAGTTTTATTATGGTAGAAACCTTTTAGTAAAAAAAAAAAAGTGTCCTAAATGGTGCTAAACCCAATACTGCATGCTTGGCCAGGAGGAATCCAATGGCACCTATATACACCATGGCAATAGACACTATTCTCTGTTGTGATTGTTATAATATGGAGTTTTATTCCTTTGTCAGCACTAGTTCTCAAACAATATCTTTCTAAAGTTGACCTAAACCCTCATGTTTAAATACTTTTTATGAAAAACAATAGCTGACTTGTCTAGAATGAAAAACAAGGAAAGATACCCAGTTGCTGGTGCATTCTGATTTATTTTCTGGCTCCACTGGTTTAATGAAAATAACACACTAGTTAAATTCCCGCTTAATGAATGGAGAGGCAACAATAAAAGAAAATAATATTTACCACTTCACAACTTTTGCATAGTTGCTGGAAGTGCCTTTTTATGTAAGTCAGGCCAAGGAACTGTTCCACTACACACTGTAAGCTGGTATCACTTCCTTCATCCACCTGCAGCAAAAAAAATACCTTTTATCATTAAAGCAATAAAACTGCAATTTCATAAAACACTTTCATAGTATCTGCTTCTCAATCTTAACATTGATTTTTCTTTTTTTTACAAATGGTTCATGCATCACAAACTACTATAAAAATAAAAATTAATAAATAAAATAAAGTAAATGTATCACTTCACCATCAGTTTCATATCTAGTGTTCAAATTTAGCAACCACACTGAAATCAACAAACCTGAACAGGGGAGCAGAGAGTGTGAAATGCATCATGGGTAAGAACAGTAGGTACTGCAGCAGCATATGGCTTGTTCGGCAACACACGTGAGGTATAGGATGCACCTCCAGCTAAAATGGAAGTCAATTACATTTTATTATTCTCTCATTGAAAGCAACTAATACTTCTTTATAAAAGAATTTCTGAGAGCAAAATCAATGCAGATATGTAATACCTATAAATAACAACCAATCCAGTAACCAACCAATTAATTGTATGTCTAAAAACTTGATTACATAAAACTAGGTCTGAATGTTTAAGGCTGGCTATTACCTGCATGCTTACATGCATCTCTTGATTACCTGACAACTATTCATTGCTCGACTGCATATTCTTTTACTGGGGAACCACCTGCCATTGGTTTTCTTAGTTGATTATCATCAAGTGCAACTTACAAAATAATTTGCTTATTGCTTAATTTCTAATTATTTGCAATGTTTTCCTCATCTTTATGGAACACTTTTAACTCCATTACACGTATGTTTTACACCTTACAAATCACATATATCTTGATCTCAATACTGACAATGAACTGGTAACTAGTTGAAAGTCATTCATTGTAAGAGCATTGCCTCTTGTTTGCCAAATCTCCTCCTAAAGGTTTCATGAACCATGAAACAATGGAGAATTTACAGGCTGAGCATAAAGTCTGTCCTTGATGAAGAAAAATCTATTTTTAATTTACTGTATGCTAGAAAGAAAGTGGAGGTTCAAGCATTACACAGCCAATTATTAGAATTTTCGTTGATCATAAGTATGTAAATGAATTCCAAAATGGTATTTCAAGAGAAAAAATCCAGAATGACTTGTGGTACCATGAAACATAATAACTAGTTACAGCTGAGCGAAGCAGATTATGGATTGCTGTGCTAATATTTATAATTTCTCTAATTATCCAAAAATGTATTTGGTAAAAATGGTAGTTTCATAATGTGAAATTTCACTAGATTACAACTAGTATCATAATCCTCACAATTTCATGACCTTGAAAAAACCTGTTTGACTGTACTGAGGAGAAAAATTTGATGCTTGCCTGCATATTACTAAGGTTGGACCTATAAAATAATATATCTAACACGGTGATTCCAAATTACCAGCTAGAAATGAATGGTCTTGCAATGTCTATACACATGAAGGTTCAGACTGAGACGCTGATCAATTCTGTTAACAGTTTTTACTTTATAGTTCTGAAATGTCTGTGTTTTAGAAGCTTTTGATCTTTCCAATCATATCAACAAACTACTTTCAATAAATAACATTTCAAAAACAAGGATTGCTAACCTGGGCCCTGCATGAGTGCAGAAGCTGGAGAATGCATAGGTACAGAGTGAGGACCCAATGGAGAAGGTGCAAGGAACCCAACAGGTGATGCAACATTGTACTGAGGTGCAGAGGGAGAATTTGCCCCTAAGAATCCTGAACTGGGTGACTGATGAGGCAACATTGCAGGAGAAGGATTCATCCCTGGTAGAGAAGGTGGAGAAGCAAGAGAGAAGCCACTTGTTGCAGGACTTGACACAAAGCCTCCATGTCCACTTGTCTGAAATGAGGGGGGGGGGGGAATATATATATATAAATCCATATATTACTGAATAAAAATAATAAAAAATCAAAATGTTTCATGAATCTATCACTCTTATCAATATATTTCACCTACAAATATGAAAGTTCAGATATCACAAACCTGGGTCATGCCCACTGGGTGAGGGCTGGCTGGCGTGTGTGGGTTGGAAGAGATGGGTGGAGTCATGGGGCCATGACGAGCAGGAGAAGCAGCCTTTGGTGTGGGCCAAGGGTTGTCATCCAAGGGTATTGGTGTTGGAGGATTATCATCTTCTGACTGTGATCTTCTTCTGTTGATAGCAGTTTCATCTACATATTTGCTGAGGAATGCCTGCAAAGATGAAATCAACATGATATAAATACACTTTGAAATTTAGCTCAAAGTTAATTCTCATTAAGCTGGGAAACAAATATCTAATATGAAAATTCAATAGATAGATTGTTCTGGCATCTATACTAGAAAGCTTGTTGGTTAACATTAGTTCTAATATGGGATATGATAACAATATACTGTAAATGCTATTGGTGATACTTTATCTATGCATTGTCATTAAGTATAGGCTTATTACATTATAATGTATACAATTTCAGGGTATGTTCAACTGAGTTGTTTTAGGTCTAACATAAAGGTTAAGTAAGGTGACCCTTGTCTGAGGTTAGTTGGGCCATCCTTTAAATAATTGTACTCTCAAGAACATAAAATTTTGCTGATAAAAATAATAAATTAAAAAATGTCAAGATTAAATACAAAATAACTGCCAACTTACCTTCAGTCCTTGAACTGGGATAAATTCTTCTATCAATTTTGAAGTTTCAAAGCTGCTGAATGCTCCATCTCTTATTGCAACAAGCCCATTAGGAAGCATGTCAACATTTAAACAGTAAATGTTGCGATACACAATACTGACACGTGTTGGTGACTGTGGTAGAACTGTCAGGTTCTTGATAGGTTGCTGTCTCTGTTGGTAAACATTGAAGTGAAAGTATGTTCTTATATAATTCTTGCTACCCTCAATATTTTGTTTTCCAATCTTTGATCATATGAACTAATATTTGCTAATGACATATCAAGAAATACCATGTAATCATTTCATTAAAGGAAGTGTAAGATATCAGACTACCTTGTCAATAACTCCAAGATGAAGTGTTGGTGAAAGTTTGGATATTGCTAAGAGAGGCTGATATGTATGATGCAATGTTGTGGCCAAGTCCACTAGTCCCATGTGGCCTCGGTGGTTGACTAGGTCCTGCAACTGGTCCTGCATGACTGTGTGAGGGTTTGTAGCCCACACTCCCTCCCCACTCATACCTGAAACAAAATTGTAAATGATGAAATACATGCATGAATCATAAGGCACTATAAAGAATAATCCTTTGGTTTTGTTTCACTGATTTTGTTAATGCACAGTTGGATCTAGGAGCGCTTGGTCACCAGAGTCAATCAGATCTCCCTGACCTCGCCTATTTAGTCGATTCCATTATTTTTTTGTGAAGGAAAGTTCTTTATTAATACCATTAATAATGATATAACAATTTCACTGAAGAGGATGATAACAACAATAAAATAACAAAATAAGAGCAATATCAATAACAACAAAATAATAATACAATAATAATAAATATCATCATCACCATGGTAACAATAACAATAATACTGATATGAAATTTTTATCCTGAAAATTCATGGAATGGGATAAACAAGTGAGATTAGGGAAGCCTAGTAAATGACTCCTTGGTGAACAGGCACACGTGAAACCTCAGTGTGTAAACAAAATTAGCAATGCAAACCCAATGGCCAGTTCATAAACCCAGCATTAATGGGCTAAACTTCAGTGCAATTATTTAATGAATATTCTTGATACTAGACTTCATCAAGTGAAAATGCAAATATATTTATGTAAAAAAAAAAAAACTTACCAAAGCTTAAAGTGAAGGCCTTCTTTTCTGCATTGTATCTTATGATAACAAACGCATCATAGCTGGGGCCATAAGCAAGAGTCATGCTTTTGTAGTTGAATGACTTCACTCGCACCATCTCGCTTAAGCTTTTAGGGTTAGCCCCACTGCTACTGCAGCTACTGCTACTTCCAGCTGATTCAACACCAGCTGCAAATGGACAATAAAGTGTATATCAATAAAATAAAGGAATAGAATAAGCAACTAATACTTTTGTTATAAATTTGAAAGAAATCATATTTAGAATTCATTATACCTCTGGAAGCTGACAGATGAGCTGCAAATGTGAGAACCAGCTGATACAGCTGTGAGATAACAGTCCAATCCGCCAATATGGCATCTACTGTACTGTTCACATTTTCTGTTACTTCATAGGTAAAGTATGCTGCACGACGTGGTCCTTGCTCACGAGAGTGCTGGCTTGTCACAGGGCAGTTTGTAAACAGGTACTCCATTCCAAAGACCCGAGAACCTTTGAATTGCTGAAAAGATATATAGTTATATTCTTTATTAGCAAATACAAAATCACGTAAATTGAGACATCTATTTCTAAATTCATATAAATTCCACAACCATGAATATAGTTCTTACCGGAACTTGAATTCTGATGGAAGAAGAGAGAAGGTTTTTTCTTAAAGCTATCACAGTGTCAGAAGATAAGCCTTCAACTGATGGCAGATCAATCAATCGTAGAAGCACTCCCATACCGCCTTCCTCTACTTGTTCTCCAGTGTTGAACACACTCCTTTCACGAAGCTATGGAAAATGGTACGAACATTAAACTCGAGATTGTAATAAAAATATACAATTTGTCACATATCATATCAGCAGCAAGAGGTATTAACCCTTTACCGGGCACACATCTTAATTACCTCATTTACATACATGTATTTAAGTGATCATATATGGTCACTTGCCCGATAAAGGTTATAAGAAGTCTTAAATATCTATCTAAAGAGAATTTCTTTACCTTGAGTGATAAGTGTGTAAGAGGTAGTTTCATATCACTCATAGCAACACATTGGGCTACATCTGGCAAGAAGTAGGCTGGCACCTTGACTCTCTTGCTAGCTGGCTCTGCTCGCTGCTGTAGTTTTCTCTTACCTCCCAAGGCTCTTTCTCCTGGCTCTATAACTTTAACATTAATAATCATAAGAAATATGGTGAAGACCTTATAATTTAATGAATTCCAAAAAACTATGGTAGAAAAAACAAACTGAACCCAAAATCTGGATTTCATCTACAGACGATGAAATTCAGGATGATCTTTAAACTGTTGTCTCACTTTTCCATAAAATATGTTTGTGTACAAAGGGTTTTTCTACCATAGCATCAACACAGTGTTTTGCCATTTTCCAAAATGCCACAAAAGAAACTTATGTTAAGGCAACACTTTACTACAATGGGTTTTTACTTACCATCAACTTTGGTAGAAGGTCCATGTGTGCACACAAAAGAATCCAGTTTCACAAGGTCATATGCCCGCATGTAAGACTTGGGCAGTGCTGTTTGCACTGTGTCATCATTTGGGTTGTCCTCAATACTTGCTTGTTTGACTACCATAAAATAGAGGCTTTGCTCTATTTCACATGGACTTCCTTCTTTCTCACAGAACTCTACAATCTGTATAGATCATCAAACCAGTCTCTTAATAAAAATCTTAAAAGACATATGAGATTCAAGTGCAGCTAACAATAAGAGAGAAAGAAAGAAAGAAAGAAAGAAAGAAAGAAAGAAAGAAAAAAAAACACTTACCACAACATATCCAGGATGTTTGTGGAATGTAATAAAGACCTTGTGCTTGCCAAGGGAATTTAGTGGATGTGTGGCAAAATACATGAGAGGCAGACGTTCATGGGCTGTTGCCGGAAGATGCTGCAGGGTTTTTTCTGTGCGACGTACCATGAGCCAGTATCTGCATTAGGACAAACAGATTTTGATTATTTATAAAGATGCATATACATATCTAACTATAGAAATAATAATAATAAAAGCAAAAATAAAACTAAATTAAAAAATAAATGCAGAAAAGAACACCTATTATTTTCTGAATGATCTGTATGGAAGGATATGTTCAGATTTATTTTCTAAATGAATTCATTACATTTTAAAAAATCTTTGAACTTGTACAAGGAGCAACCATTCCAATAAACAATGATAAAAGTAATATTTGAGAATGTAAAACCTGAAGCTTAAAACATATCCAACAAATAGTTCAAACATCTGACCTGAGTTCTGAGATCAAATCATCCACTTTTGATTTGTCATGGTTCAGAGCACTTTGCAAGTCTGAAATTATGTGGCAGTTGTCATACTGTGGGATGTGAGGTAAAAGCACCCCTGTGTGAGTGTCCACAGTGATTAACAGCTGTTCAGATCTTAGATTTGGTTGGAGGATGGGCACATGAAGCACTGCTGGAGATCCACTAAGCTGACCTGCAAAATTATTAGTTTGCCTTTTAATCTAATGCCACCAAGAAAATGTCATTTCATGATCCTCAAAAGAACAGAAAATGTCTGACCAAAAGGCTCTAAAATATTATCATAAATATATATACTTACATTTTTCAGCATCATTTCCTAGCTTAGAATCCATTTCTTGCTTCAGTTCAGAAAGCCGAATCTTTGTCCTTAGATAAATTGTATGAACTAATAATCTCTCAATTGACAAGTGGTCACTACGGATAGCACGTTCAGCAATCTCCGATTCCTGTAAAAACATTTAAAATAAGCCTACAATAGACAAAATGGTAGAAGTATCTATGAGACCTAGATCTGCACTGTTCATAAGGAATTTTTACTGGGTGATAACTGAAATTCCCAAAACTAAAAAGCCTTGTTATATTCAACATAATTGGTGAATGTTGTTCTTTCTCTCCAAATTCATTCTGATTATAAATCATATTCAAAGTAATTCCAGAACACAAATAAAAATGGTATCTTTTTATTGGCTAGTCTATCTATACTTAGGATTACTCTTTCTACAAATATTTAAAAGTAGTCAATGTGAATTACCTTAGATCCTAAGGATGGTGTATGCAACACCATTAGTGGCTTTGAGGGCTCTGTAGGATCAACCTGTACAGTGAGTCTGTATCCTAACTGAGCTGAGGGATCACGCTGTGTCAACTCTCTCCAGTAGGTCAAGGTGAGGGACCTTCCTTGTAAGTATTCCTCAATACGAATGTGGAAGTCCAGTCTGTCCTCCAAGAGCTAGAAACAAATATAACCATGATAAATATAGGTCACTTTCACAGGCTGACAAACAAAAAATATTTTTTCCTGTAGGCAAATACTTTTACAGAAAAAATAAAACTCACCTTCTGTGTTTGCACAAAAAGGACCTCCAGTTGCAATGCCTGACAGAAAGAGTGTAGAACCATGTAGGTCTCATGTAAAGGTTTTGGGTTGTCCTGTAATCTTGACTGAATGAGGTGATGAATAAATAGTACCTGGAAGATAGAGTAAAAACAAAACAATTTAGATAACTAATGAGAGCCAGCTATCTATAAACCAACAAACAATCCAAGCTAACAAACATGAAAGGACTCCCTTTCTAATATCTACATGTTCATGCTAACCTGTCTTCGATGAACAAGAGCTTTGCCATCCCCAGTTTCCTTGTCTTCAACCAGAATTTCAATTTCCAGAAGCCTCCAAGGCTCAGTTATGCTATCTCCCATGAGAGTGAGACTAACTTCAAACTCATGCTCCACGGTGAACTTTACACGACCATTTTCAATCTGCAAAAGAATGATAAAAATCACTGATGAAAGATATTAAATCATTTTTATCATTAAAAAAAAAAATTCTTGAAGTTTAGAAAATGCATATAACCTTTTCTTCACACTAAAGGATACCTATGGCTTTGATGTAATGTGTCTAATACTAAAGGTTGTAATATTTTGTTAAGCCTAAATAAAAGGTGTCCCAAATTTTCAAGACACTTGTAAAAAAGAGTTCTTTTCCATAAAATATTTTTCACTCCAAGTCTAACTAATGTCCAACAGAAGATGTAAAATGCTGACTCTGCTTGTCCTCATTTGTGGTGGAAGCTCAGTTGTAACCAAACGATGCTGAATGATCTGTTCCAACCGAGTTAGTGTTTGTTTGCGTTCCAATGCGGTGATTGGCTCTGGTGGAAGGATACGCTGCCGTATGGTTAATGGTAACCTGTCATATGAACCTGGAACAATAACAATTTATTACTTACAATATCACGTATCTGTAAAAATGACGAAATAACACCGTTTCAAAGACACATCCTAAAAAATAGCAGAAAGACTTAAATACCACTTAATATAAAGCTTTTAGATAATAGTACAAATGCATTTCTAAAACACTGTACAATAGTCTTCCAATATGTTAACTATGATTTCCTTACCAGTAGTGAGTGTTTCTACAGCAGCTGGGATGTGAAAGTGAGGAAGACGAGCACATACTAAGTTTTCTTTGGTCATGTGGTACAGCTTATCAGCTGTGTAGGTAAAGAGATTATTTTGCTTTTCCAACAGTGCCATAATATGCTGAAAAAGAACAATTTCATCTCTTAAATCTCGGTAACATACAGTAGACTTAAATACTTGAGAATAACAAATTTACAATAATTTTCAAAGTTTTGAAGTATTAATAACAAATAAAGATAATTGACTTACACAGCATTTATCCACTTTTGAAGCACTGGCTGCCCATTTGACCAAGGCCAAGAGACGAACATAAAGCTGTCTAGTCCGTTGGGCATATTGAACTATGTCTATCTTCTTTTCTAAATCACTTTTCCTAGGCAAACTGAAAGAGAGAAGGCTCAATATTAGTCTTACTATCAAGAAGACTGTAACTCTAACTCCATACAATTAAGAATCTACAGCATGAATTTGAATAATGTTCATGTAAGTGCAAACATCAGTAAACTATGAAAAAATCTAATAAGTTTTGACTAACACTGTTGAAGATGAAATTAAATCCTACTAGTAAGTCCTGCTGATAATCTTTTTAAAAAAGATATTTATGTATACAGAAAATCATGAATAACTTACATTTCTGCTAAATTGAGCAGATCTGAATAGGTTCTCTGGTTAATATACTGAATGAGAACCCCTAAGGATATGGTTCCCATCTGGCCCCCCATTGACCCCACAGTCTCCATGGGGCCACCTCCACTCCCACTCTCCAGAGGGGCTGGAGTTGGTGTTGGCGCCATCTCTGCTCAGCTGCAATGGCAACCTGCATAAGATGAGAAAAATGGTAGTAAAGAGGCACACTTGAAAAGAGGAAGAAGTTGTAGTCTGAGCAATTAATAGTAATACTACTAATCTCATAATTACTAAAATATATGTTTATATGTTTTTCTTAATGCAATCATTTTGAAGAATCTTTTCATGATCTAGGGTTCACTCATATAAATAAATATTTGGCTAAATTTATGACTACCCCTTCCTAGAGTTTTATAGAATTATCCATAGGATTTACATTATTTGTCTAAGATTACTTTTAATGTAAATCCTTTGGCAAAACTACACATCTACATTATGCTCAAAGACTGAGTCCTCAAACAGGATTTGTATGTGCCTGTCACCAACAAACCCACTCATATAAGGCCAGCCAAGTAAAAGGTTGTACAGACTTTCATAGTCTTCTGATAAGGTGAACAGAAGACGTAGGAAGGTGAAATCCTTCTCCTAGAGTAAGCTGCTCAATCTAACCTGATGTCATAAACAATAGTTCTGAGTTGGTAATAATTGTCAGTTAAAAATGCCAGTCTCCTCGAAGGAGGGTCTCATTAGGCAACATGAAATTCCTGGTTGCCCCTTTTATCAATACACTATTTTCCTGCTAAAGCATGTTTAACCTAATGTATTGGGTTAAAGGATATGTACAGTACATGTAAATTAATCATAGCGCAGGAAAACATATCACAAATGAGCATTATATTGTCATTATCCTTAGTGCACCCCTTTTAAATTAACCTGTAGAATGTGGGGCATGTCACCAGTTGATAAGCATCAAAGTAAAAACTACAGCTCTCACTCTGTTTATGAAACTATATATAATACATATATGAAATATGTACAATATATATAATATATATATATATATTATATATATATATATATTATATATATAATATATATATATCTAATATATATATATATATATATAATATATATATATATATATATATATATATATATATATATATATATATATATATAATATATATATAGCTACATATATACACACACACAGACACACAAATACATTTATTAATATATATAATCCCGAGCCAAGATTTGCCTTGGAAGAAATAATATGGCATTGCATGAATGAACATGAAACCTGCTAGATTTATGTTAAATTTCAAAGAAAATAAATTATCTTTATACAGATCATTTGAGTGGTCATACTTAAGAATACATTACCTGAATTGCAATGATTGAAGCTTAGATAAAAAACAAACAAAAAAAAAACAAGGCTTCTGGTGTGGTAAATCAGGAAAAACTAAATACCCCAGGGGAAGAGAGATCTGGGGACTTGTTTCTGATAGGAAAACATCACAGAAGAGGGTCTGGAAAGGTAAAGAGATGCCCTAGAGGAGAGGGGACTTGCGAAGGTGGGTGTGTCTCCCCCCTATCCCCAATTCCCCATGGGTTCTACTTGACTGAATGGGGCAAGAGGAAAAGAGGGGGAAAAACAAAATAGGAGCAGCTGCAAAAATATGATTAACCGAAGTTAGTAAATCTAATAATGGAATTCTATCATTGTCTGTAAACCAAATGTAGTAGCAGTAGTGGTTAGTGGAACCAATACCTATGCATAACATGAATGGCTGGAAACCCCAATAACATGTACAACTTTTGATGGAGTGAACAGTGAAAGATGTTTACACCACATTATTCATTTCTGCTGAGTCATGATCTTACTGTTGCTCAGATCAGTCTGGATAGTTTTGCTGGTAAGATGTGATGGAGATTTTACAACTAAAAATACTTTAAAATGTACAATTGAGATCAAAAGGAATCCACCTAACTAAATTTGTTAGATTTTAAGATAGAGATTTATTCTAAAATTACTGCTATTCAACATGTAGTAATAAATAAAACATGTACAAAAGTATGTGATAGTAAATTATAAAATACTGTATTCACATGATTCCCAATGGTTTGTTAGCATATTATCAAATGCTGGGTCATTTTCGGCCCAAAGTTTTACGAGCATCAATATGATAACTTTTCTCTACATAAAGTTATAAATCAATACATAAAAAACACTACACTACCGAGAACAACATCAATCTTACATATTTACTCTTATTGCATTACAGTAGTGCAATATACACGATGTCAATACCGTATTTTTCACTTTTCACTGGAAATACGAACTTTATTTATCGTAACCCTGCTCAGTAACCTCACCTTCCGGAAGACGCCAAAGTGTCTCAACCTAAAGTCAACCAAATATACAAACAGCAAAAAATTTCACTTGCACGGAAGGCACTTTACTCCCGAAACCAAGACTGATGTCCTCTTCTGGGTCCAACTTTGATAAATGGACTTTTTGAAGGCAGTTCTCTTCCTTTAGCCAAAGTATATATTCAGCCATATTCCAAACACACTTATCAACTCGTCTTACCAATTTACGAGAGTTCAGATGGCATTTTTAGGCTATCCTGGGTGAAATTCCTCTTAGCTCGCCGCGTCCCCGAAGAAACGGCCTTTCCGACTCGACATTACTAACAACTCAGTTCGAGTCCGTCGTCCTCAAGCGGTGAATCCTGGATACTTAATTTTAATATTTGATTAAACTGGTTATATTGTGACCTATACTTGTTAATATAATGACAATATTATATTCTTAACCTAAAACTTATAATAGATTCATATGATAATTAGTAGTAATATATTTTTTTCTAATTATTTTAGCTAAGACTTTATACTTTGCTACAAAATTTCTTTGTAAGGGATCAAAGGCTTAAATAAAATAAATATTCAGCAGAAATGGCATACTAATTTAATTCGTTGCACTGTAGATAAATTAGTTCATCAGGGGGACGGTGAAATCGACCTAAGTGAAATCTACTAAATAATATATATATAAGCTCGTCGCCAACATAAACAAATGGCACCCACTTTTCAAAATTTTGAAGAGAGGATACCTTGCACCAAGCACTTGCCGAGAAGTCGCAGGCGATATAAGCGTTTCATTGAAGTCTGAAGGCCTTTATGAAAAAAAAGAAGGACAATAGAGAAGTGTTATTTATAATTTAATGGTTGTTTTCGTGCAAAGGAACCAAAAATCGCTGCCATGAAGCGCTCTGACTCGCCAATAATATCGGCTGAAGAATTGTCAAACCAACGTAAGGGACATAATAGATTCAAGGCTTTAGGGATGCATGGCTTTGATGAAATATTAAATTCTTTAGAATCTCATGGATATGTTTGTTACTTTGAACAGAGATGGAGATGAAAGAAGGGAATCAAAATGGGTATGTTATGGCTGTAGTAATAGAAGTAAAATGGTATTTCTTTGCAAAAAACAGTGCAAAAGACACAGATGATGCTTTGTCAATGCAGTGACAGTACCAAGACCTGATTGATAGGGAGGGTATGAATTTCATTGGGAAACGTCATGGTCAGATCCATATTGGAAAGCTTGTACCTGTGTGGCTTATGACAAATATCTTTCTTAAAAATGCGTAGCTGGAAGATATCTGTGCACAGATACTTTTATTAACTTCCACAAATTTTGGACATAAACTTTCCGGACTGGAAGTGTCAATTTACATTCCCATAAAGTCTGTTCATTATCACATTTATTGGCTAATGTGTTATATTTGTTGTGATTCATCTCGTTGTCATTAAATGAAATAAACAGACTTTGTGGCCATAGGAGTGCTGATATAATTATTTGTGAGCAGCTGGCAACTTGTAGGCCTTTGTATTTGCATTTGCACGGCTGGTGTTATGTAATCCTCCCGTTTTGCACAGTGAAGATCTTTGCTGCGCAGATCAAACTTTCCAGTCTGGGGTAAGATGACATGGTATTTATGTATTTCTGCCACTGTAAGGACAGTGCCTGCCAAGACCTCTCTTATGTGGGGATTATAACCCCACCACATCTGGATTTTGGAATGCAAAGTCTCCACCACATCTAACCAGTAAGATGCCCTAGGGGGGGCAGGCAGATATTGATAGAAATCCATTGATACCAAATCTAATGGTTTTCAAGATTCAGATGGGTTCTAGAAAATGACCTTATCATGATTGGATGTGCCACTGGATTTCATGGAACCTCATATGGTTTACCAAGTGATGCTAGGGTGCATGTATATAAGCACTCTGAATCTGGGCTAAGGCACTGGGGTGCATATATGCAGGCACTCCAGATCAGGGCGCAGACACCAGGATTCACATGATGATAATGCACTCTCTAATAGGAATCCATATTTGTATGTTACTATTTAATCTTGTTCAGGAAAATGTTCTTATTGGGTTCATGTATAAATGAGTAAATCATCATGATTAGGTAAAAGAGGTGGTAGGCAGACATAAAATAACAACCAAACTGAGGAAAAAAAATTTAATGTTTTTCCTTCATTAGATCTGTCACTTGCCTAGCACTTATCAGCATGGCTTTCTTGATTATCAGAACATTAACTAAGACAACAAATCTACACATAAAGTCTGGCTATATAGAGCTTGAAGACCTCCCTAGTAATTTATTACCTAGTAAAGAATGAGTCCATGCACTAACTTGTCTGAGTATGTGTTGTGGAGATCTGCCAAAGTATAGAGACCAGAACATTTGCCTGACACTACCACTAGCATTTTGGACTTCAGATTCCACTGCATCAGTTAATAATCATAACAACTTTCAAGTACATTCAGGAAGAATATGGCAAATATAATCTTAAGAAAAGAGAAAGATACTGTAAGTGCTTTATAAGAAAATGATCTCGAGACATTAATTATATTTTGCTTCTCATTTCATTACAGTGAGTGGCAGTCTACCAGCATACATCAGTCCTGAAGATGTAAACAAATACCCTCAGGTGACTCACCTCTTGGAGGACTTAACACACCGACTTACGCCAACGGGTATGAGTAAGAACACATACTCTCATCTTGCTCAAGCAACACATAGTATGAAACAAGCCAGGTGAGATATATAGTAATTTTGAATTGTTTTGAAGATTGATCTTATTCCTTATATTTGTACAATTCTGTTAAAAACATTTTTTTAACGTAACCCATTGATGTTGTGCCTGTATTTGCAGTGCATGGGTACATGCACTGTCCTTTGTAGTTTTGTTTCATTAAAGTTAAATGGATCCAGAATTATTCAGTCATGAAGGAGTCAGTTACCAGGCCAACCCAACCTAACCTATTTACTTTTTTTCTTGAATCTTTAGGAAGAAAACTTTTTTTTAATTTTGGAAATTTTGATAGACTTGAGGTTGTTATTGAAGAAACTTGCCAAATAGTACCAGAATTACTTCCTCATATCCCCTGCCTCCCAATGCAAGAAAAAAGATGTGTGAAAACAGCCTATCATTTTGAGGGAATAATCATAAATGATCTATCTTACACTGAGCATGAAAAGTCTAAATATGTTTAGCTGAGTATTATAGGACTTTTGTGGTTTATATGGGATACCCAACAAAACGAAAACATCCTATCCAAGGGCAGACCATGATCCTAGAAAAACAACAACAACAGTATGTTTAACCTGTTGAAACACCCATGGGGTATTGGGATGCTACAATGGACTTTTATTGTTATAATTTTTTTTTTGTTATATTTCACATTTTGTACACATTGTCATGTAGTCATGCAATAAGACTGCAGTCCTGAAAATTAATTTTCTTTAAATGAAACCACAAACTTGGAAATGCAGAAAAAAATACTCATTCCTATTATATTACTAGATTTTGTCAAACTTGTCTGTTTCTGAGGTGTTCCCTTTCTTTTTTAAGATTATTATTTTACACTTGTAAGAAAGAAATTGTATCTGGAGAATCATTGCTGTTGACTTTATGATTACCAGGCAGAAGTGTTTGGAAGTTTCAACATTGCACCGCCTCATTCAGGATGTACTTTATCAAGCTGAGGAAGGAAAAGAAAAAGGGCAGGTTAGTAGGAAATGTTTGAAAGTCAATCCCAGTTCACTGCCTAACACAAGGAAGAAGATGATAGCCATATGTTAATTGATGCTTTTCATATGGCATACAGGTTTTTGAGATCATATGAATAAATGAGTGAGATTTTTTTCATATAATGTACGTAACAGCTCATAGCATTTTTTATGAATGCAGGTAGAGTTGCTATATCCTTAGTGTCTATATTGCAGAGCATGAAAGAAATGCAAGAAGCTCTTACTTTATCAGAGCTACAAGATCACATTCTTCTTGTTAGCCCAGAAAATGCATATGATGAACAGGAACCACAGGTATTGTTTTAATTCCCTCATTGCATTTTGAACTTTATTTTGCTAAAATAATACAAATATGGTATATTGTGTTCTTTTGCATTTTGCCAAGCATGTGCTCATCAGTTTCATATTTTTATTATAAATACCATGAGGATGATTAAACTTTGCTGGCTATTAACTACATGCAAATACTGTAGCTGTTATTAATGTAGTTCTGAATAAAATAGTGTTTTTAAAATGTGTGATATAGTGAATGGTAGGGCAATCAGTGTAAATCCAGTGTAGATTACTTTGATCTTTATGGACTGTTGTTAACCTTAATTTATCCTATATTCATGATAATGTAAGATGAACTATTGTTTGACAACATTATTTTCAATTTGTAGCTGAAGAGTGCCATCTTAGCTATAATCAAAATGATAAAATAGATATGTCTTCAAAATCTGCTAGTATTTATGCATAGAATTTTGTACCTCTACAGCATACTTTTGGTATCACTCAAGATTTGGTTCTTGCACGTGTAGCAACAACTGTGTCAAAAAAACACATCAGAGAACTTGCTAATGCACTAGAGTTGCAACTTGAACAGGAATGGGTTAGAATAGCAGTATTCCATGACCCTATTGGTGAGTAGGCAGTATACATCATATCCTTTTGTATATTAACCCAATGTCGACGGAAAAATGATGCATTCCCTTTAGCAATGCTTGGTTAAATGTTTCTGCACATAGATGGCTCTGCCAATGCTTAGCTACAAAGGAGTCAATTAGTAGATCATGCGACCTGACTTTTCCTTAAAAAAACGTGAAAAGCTTTTTTTTTTTACTATATTATTACTGACATTGCTAACAACAATATGAAATATTAGAAAATATTATCAAAAATCAAGGAAAAGGATAAACAGGTTAGACAGGTAGTTGGCATAATTGGCTCATTGTTGACCATACTTGTGGAAAAACAATTACTAAATTCAACACCCTTAATGGTAAGTGGCACGTACGTACATGCCATGCCCGTCGGCTTGGGGTTAATAATGCAAAAGTTATAATGCATAAATTGTTTTCAGAAACAGATTTTTTGTGCAATAAAAGTTTGCTGTCATTAATTTAATGTCATTACTTTGATTTGTTGTGATTACACATACGATTATCCCAGTTTATATTTCATTTATTTTTGAGTATCTCTACAAAGAACGAGGAATAGCTGCATTTTTTCAATTGCTTGTCAAATCTGCATTCCAGGTTTTCTGAGCTATAATCCAGATGAAGTAGCAAAGATCCCAGAAGAGCTAGAGAACACGCACAGGAAGATGGTCAGTGACAGGAATAAGCTTATGCACAGCATCACTCAAACAGATTTTCTGTTTCAGCAGGTAAGGTAGAATTTAAGAATTCTAATTTATTGTTACTATGATGATGATGATTATAATTATTATTATTGTTATTGCTGTTGTCATTGTTGTTGTTATTGTTGTTATTTATTATTATTATTATTATTATTATTATTATTATTATTATTATTACTATTATTATTATTATTATTATTACTATTATTATTATATGTATAGTCTTGGATTTGATGGAATTCCAATTTATGCCTTGAAAGCAACTTACAAGTAACTAAAGGTTTCAAAGTCATATTCATGAACTTCAGGTCTCACATTAATCTCAATTTTATCTATCCATTTGTTCAAGTTCTCCGATACTGTCCCTAGTGCACCAATAACAACTGCCATTTTTGTGCCCCATAAGGTTGCGGCTTTTCTTTTCAGGTCTCCATATTTTTTTATTTTTTCTTGCTCTTTTGCTTGACAATACCACGGCACTGCTACATCAATGATTTTGCATTCCTTTGCATCTTCATCTACCACCTCAGTGTTTAGTCATCATGCTTCAATCTCACGGTCGCATTGAATGTTGAAATTTCACAATACCTTAATATTTCCATTTCTTGTAACTCCCTACGGTTTATGTTTGTACCACTTGTTTCTTTCTAAATTAAGCTCCTCTCACAACTCCCAGTGAATATTCCTTACAATGTTATCATTCCTTCTCTTATATTCTTGCTAGGCCAGCATCTTACGTTCATTCATGATATGGTTGACATAACCTACATAGAGGTGAATCTAAAGTGTTATCAACGTGATGTTTCATGTAGTTTGTTTTTAATGCTTGGTCTTAGGCAATACATATTAATGCTTCTGTGGAAGCTTCAAGTCACCATTTTTGAGCCATCCCCAGGTCTTATCCTTATCAGTGCATTCATCTGTTTCTCTGATGTATTGGCAATGCATTCTTTTTTCCTCCTTCACATTGATCTGCATTCTTTTGAATTCTCCCAGCCTTACAGTCTCTTCTGTTTTGATAATCACTTTTATGTTTGCTGCTTTCAGCATTGGTTAATTGTTTTGCTTTACATACCAAGCCCAAGCTATTTTCTTCTCTCTTTATGCACTTCTCACAATTAATAAGCCCCCTTCCTCCTTAGTACCTTGGTACATACATTCTTGCAATGTCACTCTATGGGTGTTCACTTTATACATTGTCATTAGTTTCCTACTTCTTCTGTCCGTCCATTCAACTTCTTCCCTTGTCCAGTTTAGCAAACCACCTCCATATTTTAAAAGAAATTGCCCATATATTTATTGGCTTTATTATATTGTCCAGTAGTTTTGAATAGAGTCTGCAACATTACTAATGAATGATCCCAAAGACTTGACCCCCTTTTCCTGTAGTTTTTTGTCTCCCTCAACCATAAATCTCAACATATAGTGTCTGCCAATAAGAAGATATGTTGCATAATAAAATGATTTTTTTTGAATGCTTAGCCTGTGTGGCTCTCTGTTGACATGAAGTGGGCTAGATCATGCATATGTCAACACCATAACGGGAAGGCACTTTGTCTCAATCCTTGTTTTGTTCTTTCTTTTACCCTTTATTGCAGATCATATACACATCAAATGAACCTTTGTTCACATTTTACATTCAAGGTGCATGGTCTCCTACTTGAGTATGGGAGTATTTTGAAGAGCCTCATGTCCAAGCAGAGATTATCCCACTACCCAGCCCAGCATGTTGAGAGTCTTAACATTATCTTGGGTGCACAGATATTGAAGCTGAAGTAAGTTGCACATTTCCCATGATTAGGGAGTTTTAGTTCATGGAAATTATAAAGTATTGTGATTTCATTATTGCCTAGTAGATTCTATTTTTTGTAATAAGACAATATAGTGATTAGAGGTAAGAAATAGATAATGTAAATCGTCACATTGAGGGACTTTCTAAAACACATTCATTTTCAGATGTATTGAACTGGAGATTTTAGTGGATACATACACAAGTCAGTCAATTCCTGCACTGAAGACAATTCACTCACATGTAAAAGAGAGAACAGCAGATGCTGAGCGTAGTCTTGCTAGACTCAGACATGAGCTGAGTGGTTACAGTGGACTTGATCCAAAATTCCAGGCTTTGCTGAAGGAGTATGCCAAGCTGCAGCAAGACATACAGTTCTGCAAGATGTCGGAATAATTTGGTTTGAAACTATGAATGGAAAGACTTATGGTCCTTTTGCAGCAAGAATAAATTTTGAATTAGATAATACAAATTATACTGTTTGAATTTATGCTATTTGTGGACTAGTGATTTACAATAATTGTTACTAATTTTAAAGGCTGCTAAAGATAAAGTAGATTTTTTTGTACATACAAATACACATAGCACTAAGAAATATTAATTTGAGTAGATATTCTATTTTGTATTAATTAATGAATATAAAAAATTGATAATCTCAAAGCTTTTTAATAGTAACAGTGTTACATACACA